AGTCTGTTACGCTTGCTTCCAGAATGACTGTAAGAGTTTTCTGTTTTGTCTTCTGTTCCTTACATTTCCATAGTTCAGTGATTGGTGTGTTCTGTGCCGTATCAAGAGACTGAATAAGTAGTCAGGGAGGTTTCCTGGGATTCTTTACATTTCTCTTCCTTTTCAAAAATGTAGTTGGCAAGTATTTTGCCTAAGTTTCCAATATGCATACCACATCCCAGCAGTCATGTTTTCTCTCTTGCATACTTCCTGTGCTCATTCTGGACTGCTTTTTTTTGTCCGCTAGCAATAATCTTACCTGTGTCTATATATTTGTGTCTTGACATATGTAAAGCTTTTTTATCTGAAAATCTCCAGTGATGGTCAGTCGGCATCCCCAGTGTTCTGTCTGGCATTGGATGGGTAACCTTGAGATGGTGGCTGTTGACTATTTGGTAATTTCACACGCGTGCTGAGCTTCACCTTTCTAAAGCCTGCCTCTGCATTTGGTGCCCTGCCAGCCTCAAGATGCCTTCCACTCCGTTGCCTTGTGTGAGTCAGGCTGCAAAATGAAATGTGCCATCAATTCTGCTAAGATTCACTTTCCAGCTTTTGGCACTTGCTGATAATAGTGGGGTGGAATGGAGGTTTAATTTGCTACCAGTTTGGATTTGGGGAGCATAATTTTTTCTAGTGTTTTTTTTTTTTTAATATTTTTACCTTACAGCAAGCACAATATCTGTTTCTGTGGGGCAATAAAAAGAGAACAAAGAACAGGAGGGGAAAAAAAAAAAAAGGAAATGGCATCTGGCACTTGAGGCAGGGGGGAGGAGGAATAAGGAGGAAAATTATTTGTTTGAAAATTCAAAGGGGGAGCACAGCCACTGTTGGGTTATGAATAAATCTTTATTTTCAGTATACATTAGCAATCAATTGACCTTTCACAGAATTTGCAGCACTGTAATCGCTGCTCCTTCCCGTTTGGTACCCTGCTCTTCTCATGAATGTGTCCATCCTTCCCCCTCGTCTTGTATTACCCTACAAGATTAGACACCATATGCTAGTTTTATAGGGGAAGCCCTGTCCTCCTTAAACCTCTGTCAGATCACTGAAGTCAGATTTTTTTTTTAACATGTGTCAGAAAATTGGATAACCCAGATTTTAGGTATTTATCTGCAACAATCTTCCCCTCTATTGAGAGCAAACTTGGAATTATAATTGGCATTATGGAATATATTTGAGCCTTTCTACTATAAGGGCTACAGAGGTTAGAAAGCACTTCGCCTAGTGAATATTATCTCGAAGTGAGGATACTGACGCAGCAGCTATCAAAATTGGAGAAGTGTGCGGATGTGCCCAGAAAGATCAATGACTATCGGAGGTTCCCAGCACCAAATGGCTGGTGCTGGATTCCGAAGGAGCGCCGGCTGTCTCGGTTGTAGGATGAGCGTGTTGGAGCGGAGGCGCGGTGGGGACAGAGACTGGATAACAACAGGAACGCGCTGAAGGGAAGAATGGTGTCGGGAAGGAATCGAGGGATCGAAGGGCAAAGATGAAGTAAAAGTGGCCAGTACAAAGCAGAGAAAGGGAGGAGGGCTACTGCTAAATTTTGTTAGTCATTTCATTCATGTGATCTTATATGAAAGGTCTGTTGTATGAAACATAAGCCTGTTTTTCTTTGGGGGTTTAATTCTCGCTGGATGTTTTTCAGCTATCACTAATTTAAGCGTTCACTGAAGAGGTGTCCGTTCACTAAGCACTTGTAAATTAACCGATGAGCCGTGTGCTTGCCAGGAACAGCAAATCTTGGTGTGCAGCGTGCCTTTATGGAAGAAGGGAAGCCGGGATGCGCGTTCCTTTCTTCCGCCTACAAAGCCTCATTGCCGTCTGCGGACTGCAGCGTGCTGCAAAGGCACCCGAGCTGGTTGTAACCCAGCTCTGTACGTAACTCTGGCAGCGTGGAAGCCCAGCGCAGGTTGTAAAACCAGCCCGTTTCGAGGAGGGAGCCGATGTCTTTAGGCTGCTATCAATATCCATTTTATTTTAAAGCTGGGCTGGAGTGTTTAGTTGTGGACTGCAGTCTCCGACCCTGCAGTCCTGCATGCTTTAATTGGGGGCAGGGGGACGCAAAAACCCCCAAACCCAAAAAATGCCCCAAACAATTGATGGCATATAGTACCTTTATGACGTTTTCTATGAGCGCGTGTGTGCATGTGGACTCATGCAGCTGAATGCATATGTAGAATATGTTACACAACCGTGTTTGTTGCTGAGGCCAACATAAGTGGATGAAGTCTTTTATAAAAGGAAATAACTTTCTTGTCTTAGTCTTGTACTCATTAAATTCTTAATTGCTTTTGAGTCCTTCAGATTACTGAGAAGTAGGCTCTTTGATTTTGTTGGGAAAACCTTATTACAAATGTTGTATTGTTGCAATTCCAGTGTAAAAGGTGGTAAATGTCACCACGGCCTTCAGATTGATATGAATTTAATATTAGAAATCACTTTAATGGCTGTATTACAGAACTCTTATTCAGCAAATGCTTTGACTTAGAGTGGCACTTAACACTTGAAAAGCATTAGTTCTGATAACCCTAATTTGCTAGGAAAAATGTAGTCTCTATGGATTTCAGTGGCAGAAAAATAAACAATAGCCGTAACTTTAACCCAGGAAAAAGTGCCTACGCAACACAACTGCTTTTCCAGCTAAACAGACAGAATAATGGTCGCCTCGGTGCAATGCCTTTATATATTTTCTCAAATCTTAAGAGCTGCACATGCACAATCCAACAGCACGATCAAAACGAACACAGTGGTGGCTGCGTACCCAAGTGTCTGTCCTTTTATGTCCAAGTATTCTCTGAATGCAGCTGCTTTTTACAGATTTCTCTTGAAGATTTAAACTTTAAATAAACAGAGAACAGCAGCATATGCAAGCATAATCTGTCAGGACAAACGTCCATTTAAGGTTTTTTTGGTGGGTTTTGGTTGGTTGGGTTTTGTTGTGGGTTTTTTTTTCTTCTTTATAATACTTATGCTGCAGTTTCATTCTTCTCCAAGAGTAATTTTTGACTAAGTCGCTGGGGATGGTTCTGTAAAAACTGAAAAAAAGCAGTACCTTAACTTTTCCGAGTGCGTGTCATTAATTTTGTTTCCATTAAAGTGCTTCCTGTAGCCTCTTTATTTGCATTTTTATTTTTTTTAGTCCCATTAGGTTAAACTCCAGATACAGAATATTCAAAAAGGTGGGTGGGGGGAGGCCGGGGTGGGTTAAATGTAGGAATAGTTGCTTGTTTGTCTCAGACTTCACAAGTGTATTTTCTATGAAGTCTTTGTTTAGCTTGTGCTGATTTAAAGCATACACTCATGTGAGGACATTTGAGAGCATTTCTGTAAGTAGTTCCACTGAAGCAATTCCTTTCAGGGGATCCAGTCACAGTGAAAACCTCGGCACTGGGCTTTTGGGGAGAGCCTGGTAGCATCCAGCGGGAAAGCCTAGCAGAAACTCTTCCCCTGGGGGAAGCTGCAGGGCCAGGACAGTTGATAAGGGTCGCTTTCAGGTGTATGCAGTTCATCTTTGATTCGCAAGAAATCAAAGTGTTTGCCCGGTCGCGTGGTTTGGAAGCTGAGCTCGTGTGACGAGCGACGTGAGGGGTAACTGCACGAGTAGTCCAGTTGCTTCTAAACCTCTGCTGGTACCTAACCCTTTTCATGCAAGTTTTGTATTTTGTATCTTCTCTGAAGCTCTGAACAACTTCCTAAAAAAAGCCACGTGTCCGTGAGCGGTGCAGAAACTTGACCCTACCTGGCACTGTGCGTGCAAACTCTTGGCAACTTATCAGTAAACATTCCAGGGCAAAGTTCTACTGGTTTTGTTGGCAGTGGCAGTATGATAGAGGAGGAAAAATAAGTTACTAAAAAGAAAAAGAACTGCCCTTGATTTAAAAAATAAAAAGATATTTAAAAACCCCACCTTTGTTGTAACCCAATCCAGTGCAAGGTAGTTGCATTTTGGGGTGCTGGAGTAACACACTAGATCTCTGGGTGCTGCGTTTTGGGGGAAAAGGGGCTTTGCTGTTTCTTTCTTAGCAGGATGGATTGGGCTGGTCTCTCAAGTGCTCTCGTGTGTGTTAGGTACGATCTCAAAATACTTTGAGCTCTGTAGCCAAGAAGGATCATCGATGGTTCAAAATGCAGGACTAAGAATAAGAGAATGTGGCTTTGAAATAATTAAAAAAATAGAAGTTAGACCGTCTGGTCTCAAGTCTCATGTGCCTTCATTTTTCTGTTGTTTTTGAGGTTTTTTTTTTTAAATGGCTGCATTGACTTTAATGTGAATGTTTCCAAATATCTCTGACAACTCAGTATCAAAACAGTCTTCCTAATTGCTATAGTTAGAGGCTTAAAATATATCTCAATTTATTGGTGTTGCAGTTTGTCTGTGTTAAATGTGGAAAATGAGTGAACATCTGCAGTCTGTTGAGGAGAGGGAGCACAGAAATTCCTGAGCTCCAAGTGCAAGAGTGCAGGCTAGAAGAGCAGCATTTCAGCTGTGGCAGCGTACCTGTTGGCAAGACTTCACTTTGTAGAAGTACGCTGCAAAGCTAAAGGGAGGTTGTCGCTGAATGTCTCGTAAGAGCAGCGAGCCTTCTTTTTCTTTGCTACTGCAAAAACAAATGTAATTAACTTCATTAGACCAGGCCTGATTTTAATGTAGTAATAAAACTACCTATTTTGTAGAATTATTTTGAATGAGGTTTTCTTACCTGTGTTATAGTTGTCTATAGTTTTTATTCCTGAACTGTTAATTTAAAAAAAAAAAAAAAAGTCAGTCTCTCTACTGGAAATACTGACCTGAAATGACTTTTTTTTTTTTTACAGTACTTTTCTGTATCTGAAGTTCCTGGTAGTGTGGGCCCTAGTACTGTTGGCAGATTTTGTCCTGGAGTTCAGATTTGAGTATCTGTGGCCGTTCTGGCTCTTCATCAGGAGCGTTTACGATTCCTTCAGATACCAGGGGTTGGTAAGTATAACACAAAATTACTGTCCCTTTGTCGG